GGGAATGGTTACCCCACACAGGGCCCGCACTTGGCGGCCTTTGGTGCCAGAGCTTTCAGAGTGTCGACGGTTAACGATGCAGTATCCCTAGACACCACCTTCCGGCTATCAACCATAAAACCAACCATAATTGTTCGTTGTCTCTTTCTCTTTCCACTTTCTTGAGACGTGGTGTAATCAGAATCGGGGAAGCAAATACGCGCCTGTGCTGCGTGATCTTGAAGCTTCCGAGCTCGGTGCACAACTCAGATACTCAATTTACATCGGTTCTCGAGTTGGGTGGAATGTTGAAGGTGCCCCCCTTCCAATTACTAAGCCAACGAGAATGTGCCCATGGGGTCACGCAAGCTTTGGGCCCTAGATTCAACAGGCATGTGTCCAAAAACGCATCTGAGCGCAGCCTTCATGAGGGTGATTCGAACCCTGCAGGCGTGCATCAAAGTATGTCACAGTCGCAGTCAATGAGAGGTTTGGTCTGAAAGGAGCGGGGGCCATGGACTGCCTACAAAATTGCTGCAGATAAATTGCGTACACACTGTTGTGCACGAGCTTCATGTCAACCAGGAGCAAACCATGCAAGCTCGCAGAGATGTCGCATGTCTTGCTGCAGAATCTTGAAAAATAGAAGCGAACTCGCGGTTGCGTTCCATCACTTGCATTGTGATTGGAAAGTCGAACTTCCAGGCAGGCACTGTCACCCCGTGATATGACTTCATTTTCCGCTGAGACGCTTAAACCGATTCCAATCTTGAATCTAGTCTTTGCTTGGTGGCGCTTTCCGATGACGGAACTCCTGCAAGCAGCGTGAGTCCAGACTGGCAACAAAAGAAGCAGGTGTACCATAACAACTAACAGCTGCACTTAACGGTACATCAATCAAGTAAGTGCTCCTTGCCCTTCTCGAAGAAGCCCTCATCTGACCAAGAAGGCCAACATCTTACCGATGCGTCGTGCCTTTGATTTCAAGAAAGCACAACTCATCTGCAGAAAACCTGCAAGCCTTCCACGAATCAGTCCAGCCACACTTCGAAGCCAGGCTTGTCTGGGCAGAGCCGGTGCTTCAGTACCTCGGTAGGAGCATGCAAGCAGCGTTGAGCTTCGTCTATCCCCGCTGACGGTTTCTGTTCCACTCTGTGGTATTAGCTTTGGGCGCTTGTTGGATGAGACATGAGGGCCAAGAAGCAAAAAAAAACCTAGTCGTTTTCTACACGCTGCCTCGCTGATCCGATCCTTCATTCTGCCATGCAGACTCAAATGCAAAGCCATGAATGCAGAGCGGGCCCTACTATCTCTTCGGATGGAAGCTAGTACAGACAGATTGGAGGTCAAGGGTTGCCAGCATACTTGATGCCGCTTTGTGTGCGTCCCTCATATTTGCTGGCTTCCACGACAACCCCAACCTTCTCTGGCTTGCGGTAAACCGGGTGAACCGGGTGCCTTGGCCTGCGTGGAGCAGCGCGCGGGTGTTAATCAACAAACCCGCGACCTGTAACTGCACACCATATCAGCAGAAGATGACAGGCATTGACAAGTTGTTTCAGCTACCACGGAAACTCGAGATACTTTGCATTCTGTTCTGCGCGTCCACTTTTTCCAACTGGCTCTTGACTCAGTTCGGAAGTTGTCCTCTCAACTATTCAGCTTCCTCCCACCTTCCGAGCACTTGCCCCAAGACGTTTTCCATCTCAATCGAACGATCATGGCACCAAAGGCCCCAATAGCCGCAAGATCACTAAGAAAGTCGTCATCCTTACTTAGATTGGACTTGTCTTGATCCCTGCGAGGCACGTGTTACAACTGTGCATCTGTTGCTGCGTGAACACCCCCCCTTCCCACGAGTCGTCGTCGCTGCGCCGTCTCCGTGAAACCCTGTCGAAAATGTTCATCAAACAGCCGGGGAAACTTTCGAGCATTCTGCTGTACCCGCCAACGGGTGATGCATCAAGAAAAAAAGATAAGCATCAATAAAAACTTGACATAGAAATCAAGAAAACAGAAAACCTGCGCACGGTATCGAACACAATTTGAAAAGCAGCAAGAAAAGATTTGAGGACCACTGTACTGTGAATTAGCCAGAACAAAAAGAATGGGAAACAGTAGTGAACACGGATATTACGTATACTAGTAGCAATACCGATAAGAACAATAGCAGTAGCAATAGTAGTAACAAGGAGTAGCAGAAATGGTCGTGATACGGATAAAAAACAGTCTGCATTTATCACGCGGCAAGTCAGAATTGTCTGGCGAGCCAGCCGCCCCATTTGCAAACAAAATGATTAGCATAACCTTCCCCTGCGGCAGACATGGCGATGACGTGCTGTTTGCACCGTAAGCATGCATGGCTTTATAAAGGCGCGGGGGGATTGGAGGGGTGGCGCAGCCCCCCCAATTGCAAACAAAATGATCAGCACACCTTGCCCCACTGCAAACATGTTGATGACATGATGCATGTTTCTTGCAAGCATGGATGGCCTTCAAAAAGTGGGGGGTTGAGGAGGGATGCAGCCCCCCTCCATTCGCAAACAGAATGATCCGCACGACCTTCACTATTGCAACCATGGTGGTGACATGACTCTTTTTGTACTGCAGGCATATTGGCGCTAAGATTACCAATGATAAAACCGAAGAGCCAAAGAAGCCAAGAAGCCAGGGTTAGGGTTTAGGAGAAGCCTGAAAGCTAAGAAACCCAAAAGTCAAAATTTCGACAGGCCAAAAGCCAGGGGCTAGGATATCATGCCGAACTCCAACATTTTAGAAAGGCCGAGGAGCCTCAAGCCAAAAAAAGCCGAAAAGCCAAGAAGCCAGAGGCGTGGATATCACGCGGAACTCACAGAATTCCGAACAGCCAGAAAGCCACAGTAGCGTGAAAGCCGAAGAGGCCGAAAAGCTGGCAAGCCAAGAGGCCTAAAAGCTACAAAAGCCAAAATAAAAACGAAAAGCCAAGAAGCCAGGGGGTTGGATATCATGCAAACCTCAGGAAATTCCGACAGGCCGCGAGGCAACACGGCAAGGAAAGAGACTACGGCTCAAATCATTCTTTGATGCTTGGCAAATTACTTTTTGATGCTTGGCATTTTTCTTGACGCCTTATCACATTATTTGTTGATGCCTATGCCTCCACAAACGGGGCGTATTGGTTCCGTGCCCTGTTGATTCTCAGAAGGTTGCTTCCTTCGGTTCCATCGTGGCAAAGGAAAGGATGTCTGCAACGTTTGCTTTGCTACGGGGAAAGATGGGAAGAACCCCTAGGCCAGATGTCCTTCCAGACTTCCCGAGAATCCATGTTCCAGAGTTTGCTCGTGAGACCATGGAGTTCCATAGGGCTTTGCCAAGCCGAGGGCAGGGAAAGACAACAGTTGAGGAATCAACAAAAGTACAAACAGTGTAAACAGCACGGGTTCCCGCGTCCCTGTGTCTCCAATTGACGGGAGAGCTGTATATCATCCCATGATCCCAATCTTCGTGAAGCATCACAAGCAAAAGCAACATACTGAACAGCAACCACGAGTAGCTCGTTAGGCCATGGATTCCAGCTCAGCAACATGAGACAACGAGTAGTAATAAACTGCGCATCTTCCCATGCTTCTACGGGCCATGCACGCCCCCGAAGGAGTGCACTGAGGTTGCACCCCGTGGTCGTACATCTCTCTCCCTCTCTGTAGCTGGCAGTCTATCCCTCAATCCCCACACCCTCTTGCTGTCTCTTTCTGCTCAGCTGCGTAGATTGGGTTCGTGTTCCACCAGGACACGCCGGCATTCTTCTCCATTATCAACAGGTAACCAGGATCATTGCTTGAAAGGTTGCCATCGTCAAGGGTCTTGCCAGTTCTGTGAAAGTGATACCTTGGGGAGGTGTGACGCGACGATGCGACTCTACAGCGGATCAACAGGGTGGCAGCTGGGCGTGAGGCCGGCTTTACAACGCTGAAAAGCAAGCTTCGGCATGGCTGTAAGCTGTGCCTCTGAGTTGCTCTATGAAGAGAACGCCGGACACATAGATGAAATACGTCAGCAAGAATATCAGCACGAAGATCAACACGGCAAACGGTTGCTCGGTGATTTCTTGCAACCTCAGTGCTTTGTTCAGAACGTCGCTCCAGGTCTCATGCTGCCGATCAAGTCCATTCCTACAGCGTACACGATGTGCCAAATCTTGGCGGACACAGCTTGTCTCGCGGACCCCTGCAAGCTTACTTAACCTCTCCAGAAACACTCAGTCATACTGGAATCTAGTTCAGTACAGATCTACTGTTTGCTCTCTCCAAGAGATTCACATCGTGCGACTGTGACAAGCCACTCCATCTTGACCACCACTATCCCTACCTCATGACCAGCACTAGCATCTCCAAGGATAAAGGAATGTAGCTCGCAGAATGCAATACTGAACCCCAACAACAACGAGATGCGGGATGTACTTTTGTGTCGCCTTCCTTCATGACAAATCAGCCCAGAAAGGAAGCCGCCCACAAGGCTAGCGAGCAAGGCTCGTATGACACCGAAAAGTGAAAACGTGCAAGCCCTACTTTGCGGCCAATCTTACGCAAAACGTGCACTGCCAAGCAGCCGGTATGCCCATACTGCAAACGAGGAGGCAGCCATAGACAACACCAGGCCCCAAACCTCAGAGACAAGGAGTCAAGTCTGTGTTCTGGGTTTACCTTCCAATTTCAAGCTCTCCTCCCAGCACTTCAGCACACTGGGGTTAATTAAGAGACTTGCAGGGAATCACCGCCGCCAATGTCAGCATTGCGTTGCCCTAACGTGCCGCAGAACAGCGCCATGTTCTGGCATCAATTAGTAAGCAAGATCAGACAGCACGTGCCCTCTTCAAGAGCAAGGTCGCACGCAGATGCATTCAGCACTCAGCACTTTTACTTTAGGGTGAGAGTTGGGTTGGCTTTCCACCGCCCCACATGCAGATACACAGCATACATGTCAACCCAAACTGATGCGCTTCAAACTGGTCCGCAGTCCAAGGGTCCTGCGCGCAACTTAAAAAAAGAAAGCAAGTCCTGGCTCACACTGCTCAGGCAACCTTCAAGCATGCATGCGTGATCCTAAATCTGGCCACACTGCAGGATAACTCACGCCACCTAACAACCCATATACCTCAAAAAGGGTACAGGTAGCACTGCAGCTGACCCCACACCTCTGCCGCCCCAAGAACAGACCAGGGCAAGACTTGTTAAGCAAAAATTGCCATACAAGCTGTCCTGCTTGAAGCCTGACTTTTACAACTTGCGCGCTTACGATCCGTCTCCACCCACTTTATAGGTAGAAAAGAGGTCAGAGCCAGAATGTGAGAAGAATGTGAGATAGATAGGTGCAGACATCGAAACTGGATGACCTGTGTTCGGCAGGATCTGTTTGGCAAAGCACTAGACCCAAGCTCTCCATGCTCTCCACATCAGATCAATGTCTTGCGGCAGGAGACGACTATAAAGGAGAAGTAGGTGCCGTCAGAATCGAACTGCGACTTCCCATACCTTCAGGTATTCACAGTATTCTGCTACTGCACAATATCCCGAATGCTGTTCAAACAAATAGAGAACACTTCTTGCTCGACCTCAAGTCAGAAGCAAAGCAAGCACCAGAAACCAGGCACGGACACATGCTGGCATGCACGTTGTGGCTTTATCGTTCCGGGAGCTTCTGACTACAGTAGGAGCCTCACAGAGTTTCAACTTGAATTGTCTGCTGCCTGCTTGAGCTCTAGATGGAATTCTTCTCATTACTTCCTTGATTTGACAAGATGCAGCCAGAGCATCACGTAGCGCTGCCAAAGGAAGAAGAGGATGCTGAAGGCCAACCTCTCGACTTATTCGGGGATTCTTACCTGCATTAAATACAGTTGGAGACAGCTTCGATTCACTGATCAGACATCCGAATTTCTGGATTTTCGTCTTTGCCATCGCTATGCTTACAATAAAGCTCTGTCGTACATAAATCCAACCCAAGCAAGACACAGAGCCAGCCAAACTCTCATGGAGTAGTCGATGAAGTACACGGCAGTGAGAGCAATTCCTGCACCCATCATGTAAAAGACCATCCGAAAACGGCCGTGATTTGCATACATGTTCCTGTAGTTTCGAGTGGCTCATCTCCGCAATCCAGTACGATAGCAAATCCAAGCTTGAAAACAGGGCATCAAACCATGTTGGGACAAACAGATATGTAACTCCTGGAAAGATCACGACATAGGTGTACTCCATCCACAGTAGCAACGGCACCAGCATTTGCGCCTTCTCTGCCTCTCCTTGCGCATTTTGCAACATCACGAAACAAAACGGTCAAGCCTGGAGGACACTGCAAAACAAAAGATCCGCCAGGTCTCTGGCAGTTAGCATGCTGGTTGACCGAGTCTTTGGCAGTATCATCCGCAGTATCTTCTGGATCTTCGCCTCACTGCAGACGACAAACGCCAAACCAGGCACAAAACGGGCTTCAGCTGACAAACCCTCCTCCAACTGCACTCCCAGTACAGGAGGCACTTCGGGTCCAGCTGAGAACTTTCAACAATCGGAGGCTGGTCAGCATGGTCTACATGCATTCGTGCCTGAGGAGAGCCACCGATATCAACGATGAACACAGCTCGCAGGGCGAACCAAAAAAAAGCAACTGGCCTCAGCGCATCACGGTTTTGTATACTGGCCTACCTAGAAATCCTGAAGCTCATTCTTGGTGCTCTTGGCTTTGGGCACGAATCTTGCGGCACCTGAAGTCCCTGAAGCCCTAGAAACCCTAGCAATTACCGGAGTCTAGGGGCCCTAAGTGAAGGTGGAGGAAGCACTCATTGCATTTGTAAGCATTTACACGAGAGACTTCGACTGCTTCTGTGCACAGGAGATATGCTTCTGAGGTCTTCCCGGACTCGGGGCAGCACCCGATGACATTGCCGACTTCGCCAAGAACGTAGAGCCTGACATGACTGCGGGTACAGCGCATACAAGCAGATGCCGATTGGGCTCGAAATGTTGCATGTCTAAACTTCATAATCCAGCGAAGGCAGCATGATGGTCTGCTCAGTGAAGACAGACCTTGGCAGCGACCCAGCTGCACCTCTTACACCCCCAAAACGCTCTACACGCAAATTTTCTGGAGATGAAGGGAAAGTGCAGAGAGCGGAAATGGCAAATGCATCGCTCCCCGAACTGCAACGATCCTGTAAGCCTTGGCATGGCTCTGGGCCTCGAATGTCCGTCGGCGTTTCGAGATGTGTCTCAGGAATGCGGCATGTTGGGCGAAGAACACACCGGCCTGAAAGCCGGTGCTTACTTTGCACAACACAAGACCACTTCTTAACCATGTCCAACCGCGTCTTCAACCTCAAAAAGACCTTCCAGGACCTGCCCTGTTATGTGAAAACCTTCAAGCTTGGCCCATGTTCCTGACCCTGTCAGCCGACAAGATCACGATTGATCCTGGGGGCTTATGTATCTTGACAATTCTTGACAAGAGGCAGCAAGGAGTCGTATGCATGGATCTCTGCCCACACAGATCGAAACAAATCTCGTCGCCACAGCCACCATGCTTCCGTGTGGACCTGGCTTGATGAAGCAATTCTAGCCGGCATCGTCTCACAACGCAGCTGCACACCTTTACGTACACCTGACGGACTGCAACAGAACAGGTGACAAGCTTCATGCCTCCTCGGGTGGTAAGAGAGTTGAGCTCATGCCGGCTTTTGCACATTCCTGACGTGGCATGTTGAAGGGCAAGCCTGCATGGACCGCACAATGCCGCACAGGAATTCTGAGTCCTGGATGAGAACATAGAGCAAGGTTATGGCCTTGGCAAACGACGGAAGGAGTTATGCGCCAGAGCCTAGCTCAAACTGACCCAGACAGTGCGGAATGCTCAGTGCTACGATTTTAGGGCTGAGGCCATGAGCAAGGTATTCCACACAAAAGTGATTTGATCGACCTCACAGGTTCTCGCATATGCACAGCTTCCAAGCTCTCTGCCGTCATGGCCTTTGCTATGCGGATGAATTTGGCTTCATCCACATCGAAAGCCACGGCTGTTTGGATGGCGAAGTTTACCAGCAAGACTCCTCAGACTGTGTGAAATTGCAACTCTGGGAAGTTTGGTCCAGGCAGGTCCCAAGTGGCTCTGAGAGCAGTGAAGCCATGCCCGCTGTAGCAAGCCAAGCTGAAGCAACAGAAATACCCAACAAATTGCCAAGTGAGTGGCCCTTGCCGGCCAGCTGTACGCCTTTTGCTTCACTGGCGCCTTCCAGCGAGGAGTCGTGCCAAGGCTTCTGCCTTGGAAGGTGGAACCGACTGCATCTTGATGCAATGCACTGACATGCAGACATGTTTTACAAATGCCTGGACCAGCCAAGCAGCATGAAGTAGAAAAAGAGCTGGGCCACGATCATGTAAATCAATATGTATGCAAACCTAAGGCCGCAATCTGCAGAGGGGAGACAAGCTGGTGTATGAACAAGATGTCGACCACTGCACTTTCTCTGCTCACAACTCATGTAGCTAGACTTCTGGCAACGTAAACGCTGCATAAGTTAGCCACAATTGAGCGAAAACTTTCATGTGTGGCGTGGGCCGTATGCGGTAGTTTGAATCCGCGGTCCCTCATCTCCTGCGTGTTATATCTAATCGCTTACATTGATCTGGTTCACCATGTCGGAAGATGAGGGGGCTCTTACTGCAAAGGAGACTATGGCCTATCTCGTTCAATATGCGGCCCCTATCTAGTTCGTAGGGGAATGTTAAGCCGAGATGAAAAATACCGACGCGCCTAGTCCTCTACTCTCTCTCTTACGTAAATAATTGTGGCTGCTCATGTGCCCTGGAGGTTACCTTCGCGCTTCATCCCAAGCAGCTGGCGTGCTGGTAGCACCAATAGAGTTTTGCGCCGCTCTGCTGAAGTTTCCTTCGCATGTTCGTAACATAGTTATTATGCCAGGCCAGCCGTGGAGTTCTCCCTGGTGGGTCAGATCTACCCAGGATTCTTCTGTCTGACATCACCCGGGAGTGGGCTCCAGTCTGAGCATGCCCATTGCAGCTTAGGGGAAGGTTTGGGCTTGAGGTTCCTCTTGAGAAAAAACCAATGGATCCAGTGCCTCAGCCTTCCAGAAGCGGATGCCGTCTGGTTGGTCACCTCGCCAGCAGATGGCGGTCATATTGATCTCCTGTGCGTTGTGGCGCTCTTTACTAGCATTCAAGGATGCTAATGCTAAAGGACCTTTGTCAGCCATTGAGATTCCGTGCTGTGAGCATGTTACCCCAGGTCCTTGGCATCCGAATCAGCCTTTACGTTGGGCACTAGGGCGTGTTTCCGGATGCCTTGCTCCCCATGCAGCGCAAGTTCTTGTTGGGAGAGATAGAGCTGGGCTAGGACGTCAAAGGGGATTCAGGACATGTCTGGATCCTAAAACACCTGCCCAAACACGTGTACAAAAGCTGAGCAGCGCTTTCACGAGAATCTGACCGACAGAAAACCCTTTATGTGGCAGGGCTTGACCGTCTGTAAAAAAGGAGATGTCTGGCTTGTGAGCTTCACTCAAAGCATCTGGGCGAGAGCTACACCCTCTGTATCCTGAGACGATTAGAATCGCGTCTCATCTTTCGAGTCTTCCCTTTGCCGCGATGCCCCGTCGTTCTCGTAAGATCCTGATCATCGACACCTTTCAAACGTAAATTTTGGATTCCCCAGCAAAGACTGTAACTTGCAAAGCTGAGGTTTCGTAGCCATCTGGCTCTGCGAGCTTGAGTTCAAAGCCCGCAACCAACCACTTGTTGGTGTGCTTGTGGGATTCTTGTGGGTAAATGACTTGATTACATCGAAGGAAACAAGCAAAGTGGAAGAATACAGGTCAAACTGGTAGCCGAATTGTGTTTTTGCTGCAAGTAGCGCCACGTTTATCTGAAACTGCAATACCATGACGCCTGCGTCTTGAAGATGATGTAGGCTCGGCCGCAACACCTTGCTAGCTTCGCTGTCCCTTATCGAGAAAGTCCCCTAACTCGTCACGTCAGCAAGTCATTTACTTCTTCACAGCATCTGTGGGGCAAAATGCCTTGTCACCTTACCACAGCCTTGCTTCATCTTCTTAGAAACAAGCAAGGTTACAGCTTCTCAATCAAGGCTGACGCAGGGCCTCAAATGCTTTTGCAAGATCTCCTTGAAGTCTTCGGCGTCCTTTGCCAGATCCTCATGCAAAATCTCCCAGGTATGAACCAACCAAAATTTGAACTTGCCCAACAGAAAACCCACAAAATTCTCCGGAGCTTGGCAACATTGCTAACACTGCGGAAGTCATTGCCACAAGCTTGAGGAACATAAAGGCCACCTCTCGTGTATATCCAAGCGAGCATGGCCTGCCCGTGAAGGCAAACCTAGTCTTTGCCAAATCACTTTGGCCTTTTACAGTCGGATTCCCGTGTCGCACAGATGCGCGGCACATGTCCGGCAAGTGGTGGGAGGACCAACACACAGTTGTGGGGAACAGAGGAAGGCGATCAGGAGGCAGGGAGGCATGTTGTGAGCAGCAAGCGCAGCAAGCTTGGATGACCTTGGATGGCTAGGCGCCAGGACCGCTAGGACCGCTAGGACCGCTAAGAGTGGTATCAAGGCGTCCCTGCACGGACAGAGGCAAGACTGAGCAAGGCTGGGCCAGGGGAAAAATCAGGCATGGGGAAGAGGGAGAATGTGGGGAGTCACCCCTGAGTCCTCAAACGCCCGCACAGAAGCCCTTGCCCCGGAATCCGTCTTGGAAGTTGAATGGGCTCCAAAAGTTGTAAACACTGTATTTTGCCTCATGATGTAGTACACATGCATCTTTCAAGATATCAAACGTGCAGGTCGATTGGCAGGTCGCATCAATACCAGGCAGAGGGTCCAGCTTCAGTTGCTCAGCAGACGCGGAGAAGTCAGTTTTGGCCCAGCCGTTGTGAATGTCGTCCCACTCCTAGGCGGGCAGCCGATCAGTTGAAGCTGTCGGAAACCTTTCTCTCACAACCACGAGGCGAGAATAGCCAAGCTTGGCACACTATTTTTTGAGAACTGTTATGCATATGCAGGGCGACCAGGCCGAAAGGAATACACGAGCAGCGAAAGCCAGAAACCTCGCTTCCACACCAAGAATCTATGATGTGCTCCAGCATGTCTTCAAGGCGCTCTCTGATCTCAAGAGGAACGTGCAGTAGGTCGTATAGGATACCTTAATCTCACCAATCTTATTGCGGAAGTCTGTGCACGTGGCGACGTGCTGCCATTGGAAACGTAAGCAGGCAGACATATACCTTGCAGAACCAGAACTGAAAGCAGGGCAGCCAGGCCACATACGCCATAGATCCGGCCCTGGCCACGCGACAGGCAAGAATCTAACTTTAAACCGCTGTCACCTCATCTCACCTCTACATAATGAGACTCATTACTTCTCAAAGCCGATTGCATCGCCTGGATGCTGAGCTCATTCTCGAGGCGCTCTTTCAGAACCCGCTCTGACGTGACCTGGACCAAGTAACATTCTTTCATCCCAGAACGTGCGCAGCTTCTTTTGGAAGCAATGGGGCAGGCTACCTCTCTGAGGCCTGGCTAACAATCCTGTTTATGCTGGTCAGGACACTTGAAACAGTGTGCAGGCGGGCCGATTTGTCCCGCAACGTCCCGAAATCTACCTGAAGTCTCGTAATGTCTATTTCTGCTGGCTACACGTGAGCTTTAAGCGCTCAAATGACCATGGGTAGCCGCATGTGCTGCTTAGGAATACCTTTGACTTTTGAGGTTTTAGAGCATATATCTGTGCCAAGACCGTGGGACAAGACAGGTCTCGTAATCTATGCACTGCGCACAGGACGAACGCAGCTCAGGTTTGCCTCGGCGGGCACGTCATCCAACATTAGCGTGTAGTCATCAGAGGTCTGATGTGAGAAGTCATAGTTCTTCATGAACAACTTCCTGATTTCAGCGGACATTTTTCCGCCTCTCTACATTCACAAGCAGATCTAGCCTCAACATGCCTGAAGCGGATCAATCATAATCAATTCTTCTACGAATTCGTGGCTGCTAGTCGCTGCGGCTAGTTGTCATACATCAGTCACATGAGTGCAAAATACCGCTGCTGTCAAATAGCTCCCAGTCGGCTACTGCAAGCCAATTTCATGCCCCATGCCCCATGAATCCGCGCATGAGCATATTAGTTGCCCTATTCAAATCCCTATTCACGTGAGCAAACGGGCTGCGCAACTTTGTCCTCGGATTGTCTCCTCCTTGATGATTCAGCAAAGCTTCTGGTAGTAGTGGAACCCCCAGGATAGCAACACCTTTGTCGAATCAAGCGCCGCGATGGAGATCTCTGCTGTCTGCTAATAACTTTTGTTTTTGAGATGCGTTGTAGGGAGATGGGTTGTCAGTCTGATCTTTGCGCAATGCTCCTCCAAATTGCCTAAATTCAGAAGGCGGCCTGTGTTCACACAAAACCACATTTTGCTACTTGTGAGTGCTGATTAGTCTACGCGAGGGCCACGCGTCCTTGACATTGCTTTAGCCTCCGTCATCACAGGTGGCTCAGTCCAAGCTATGCATCCCGCAAAGAACCATGCTTGGAAACAACATTTCTGGCGCACGGAGCCGGACAATGTACTCGTTCTGTAATGCAGCAAACATGCCCCACCACTACGCCTCTCAAGCTTTTCGGCCTTCATGGCCTTCAGGCAAATATTGTCATTGCCATTGTTTAATGCCTACATTGTTTTCACGAACATCTCCCGGCCGTAGTTCACATTGTCCGCCGTGCTAATCCCCAAAAGAATAGCCAGGAGATAGCCAAGGATCGCCACTGAGCCACAGAACCACGCCCATCACCTGAGCTTTCCTTGAGGTTCCTTTGCTATGCCGGCTCTGATGTTTGGCGGCTCACTTCTCTCTGTCTCTTTGCGTTTTATTCTGCAGGACTCAATCTGAGGTCCAGTCACCTGACCACGTTCTGCCCGAAGCGTCTCTCGAGAAACGATCTGCTCTTCGAAAATCCTCACAGCATGAAAAATGCAGGAAACTATAGCAGACGTCTACAACTTTTGACTCGTCAAATTTGTCAGTCCTCAGCTCTGACAAAGATTTTGGGCAGGTCGTTGCCTCCTCCAATCTTGCACTCTAAATAAGCTGCACCAACAATTCCATGCCAGCCTGATGGGCGTCATTGCCCCCAACGGTTTACCTGATGGTTGGCGAACCCAAGCCCCCACGCCCTGTGTTGAAATCCACTAGGGCCAACGGGCCTGGCGTTTTCCAAAAGAATCGAGAATCCTATCATCAAAATGAACTTAAATCATGGTTCTGGAGTGCTCCGCGGGAGACTGTGGACTACAAGCCCATTACAATTGATTGTGTGATTGATGGTGAAGTTCAGGGGTAATAGAATCAGTAAATATCGAGAAGGAAGTACTACTTTGAGCCAAGTTCTGCCGAACACTGAAGTAACGGAAAGTCGTCCAGGGAATCATAATATGGCTTGAAATAGCTTGCGAGGATCAGTCCAGGTTCCAAATCCCTGGCAACATCCGAACCCGCAAAGGATGCCTGACCTCCTGGCCTGAGTCCCTGCCCTCTTCCCTTCAGCTACTCAGAATAGCCCAGGGAAAGGGCCTCCCAAAACCCATTCCCTGCACTCCACATGTTGTGCAATCTTGAGCCAATTTGATGGCGTCTCGTTCTTGCGCAGGGGCCATGCTTCGACTTGTGCAGGGGTCATGTCCTACTACTTCTCAATTATGCACAAACACACTCCTCCTCATGCGGTTTCAAGAGGTGCCTGAAGGAGCATGACTTTTCGGTTGTGCTTAACTCAAAACTTTACAGGTCTTCTAGGAAGTGTCTTGCCTAGCTACAGCCACTCTCACGATCAAAACAGCATGCTTGATTTATGTGGTGGACTCTTTGCTGATGACCCCGTCATCAGTCTCTCACATTCTCTTCTTTTCAAGCTGATTTTTTTGTCCCGGTGAACTACTGGAGTATTCCTTCTGTAAAATCCGGCTACTCATTATTATCACGTGGTGCCCACTGTTGGACACTGTTGGATCTTTAAACCAACTAGCTAGCTCAAAAATTGTTTGTACGTAGCTGACCTCCTGGCCTGAGTCCCTGCCCTCTTCCCTTAAGCTATTCAGAATAGCCCAGGGAGAGGGCCTCCCAAAACCCATTCACTGCACTCCGGCGTCTCATTCTTGCGCAGGGGCCATGCTTCGACTGCCCTCATGCGTTTCATTCTTGTGAAGGGGTCATGCCCTACTACTTCCCAGGTGGAAGGCCAGCATAAGTTCAGAAGTCCTCCAATTCAGGACCAGGGGGCCTGAGAGCCTGGAGGACCTCCCAAGCCCTTTTTGCCACAGGGCCTACTGGATGATGGTATCAAGTACGTGTGGGGTGGCGGTGGCGGCAGTGTGAGCGGTGGTGGTGGTGGTTGTGATACTGGAGAGGTGAGTCATAATCCTAACATCTCTTGGGCGTCTTGGCATCCCTGCAGTCCAACGATATTCAAACAATTCAAATACTGTCAGAAGTCTTTCACTGCTGTGCGCACCCTCGTCATCCCTCGTCCGTGAACTATAGAGGTGCAGGACCTGAAGGTTACTCAGCTAAAGAACTTCACTCCGAGGTCTCCTTCATCAGCTGAGT